CAAAATGACTTGAAGTGGGAAGCAACCGAACAAAATCATTTATTAGTATAACAGTTTGAGAGTTGCAGAGAGGCAAATGCAGCGTAACTGCTTGTGGTAATGAAAGAATGGAGCCGAGATCAAGTCAATAATTTTTCAAATCCAGTTCGATCACTCACCAGAACGATTCCAGACGTGAATGTGACCGCAATAGCAACCTGAACACTCTTCAGGTTGCCCAGTTCGTTTGGATCGTTCACATGAATTTGTGCGTTCATCTCGTCTTCGGGTGCTAATCGCATGACGACACCACCAACCATCAGCGACACAACCGCGAACATACCTTTAAGCGTCATACTCACGAATGATAGAAATCATGAAACACTTCATATTCCAAACTTCTTAAAGGTTTTCATTTCGACTCTGCTATTTGTTTGTAAGCAGATTTCACGAGCATTTAAATCAGGGTTTCTCTAAACCAGTGGTGCTTGCACCTCTTGGATTGCGAGGTAACATTTCATTTTATATGCGTTAAAGCAGCCGAGAGCGGATTTCAACGCATACATGAAGAACGTGGTGGACTTTAACGTAAGTACTTTTAAAAAGGCTAGAACTTACTCTAATGTGTGATGCAGGGATGGGAAAAAATCAGGGACGGGGAAAATCGGGAACGAAATTTTGCAGTCGGGGACCCCGAAAATGCGGTCGACTCAAAAACTGTCGGGTGCGAGGAAATTTCACAATTTTTTTAGTGGGCACGGGTGCAAAGGAAAAGGTTGAGAATCACTGATTCAAGTGATAACGTTTACAACGTTCCAGCGTTCAGGCTGAAAGGCAACATCGTAAGCAAACAACGCAATTTATTCATTGTGCATTAATCATTTGTTATCTTCAGAACGGTGATAATCAGATAGATCAAACTGACCAATGCAGCAATGTCGAGAATTACCGAATACAACGTATACCAACGGTGGAATAAATGAAGTGTATAGCCCAATGATTGGTGGCACATTGGCTAAATCTGCATAAGCCATTGCTAAAATTACATATATTAATGCAATGCACATTCTGAGAATATTCATTTCATCAAAATGTTTTCCTGCAGAACAGATTCACGACTTTAACAACAAATAACAAATCCGAACGATTCGAGGCAGAGCATGCACAAAATCGTGTTTTCCTCATCATTTATCTTTATTCCATCTTGTTCAATTAATCAGTTCCCTAAAAAATGACACTTTTTACAGTGCAAGTCCTCATCGCAACTGATTGACTTTAACACATACTTTTCAAGAGCAAAGCGCAATGCAATTAGGTATCCGTGAAATATGCCTAGTATTTATTTCTGTGCTCACAGCCTTGTACAATATTCGACACGACGTTCTGGTTTTTTTTAATTCATTATGTAGAGTTTTGCGAACAGATGAATCCTTCAACAAGGAGTGCAATGCTTCACAATATTGTCGTGAGCAGTAAGCTTGTATGCAAGACAATAAAAAAGCACATGCCGTAGCCAGGTGTACGTAACCTAGAGAGTCTCTCATAGAACATTGTCGGCTCTGTCATGGTAAGTGTTTGACTGAATGTTACTTGGCACGGTTGATTGATGGTTGAAGAATCTTCCATGAAACATTATGGCGTTGCAGCCTTTCTACTAGTGATAATGATAACAATTAAGCATTCATCAAACGATCCGCTTCCCGAAAAGACTAAAGTTCATAAAGCAAACTGCATTCGCGCAGTTGTAGTAATCGTAAGAA